TTTTTTTTTTTTTTAATCACTGTGGAGTGTGACATCATACAATAATGTCAATGGAGCCTCCATGCCTCTTATCACTGCCATTGTCAAGTACGGAAGCCTTGTTTACAAAGCCAACATTCATTTAAACCCAAGACAAAGGGAAAGAGCCTGCAGGGAGAATATTATTTAGAAACTACATGAATCTGATTTCAGTAATAACCACCAACAGTTTGTTTGCTTTATCAGATCACTAGAAACTGCCATCTTCCTTCAAGAGCACACTCTTCTTTTATAACAATATCAGAAGATCCCATGGACTGGCTGTGAGATCTACAGTTAAGACTGTGTGAATCGACTGTTTGCCTTTCCCTCAATCGTCTCTCTAATCTCTGTAAACCAGACTGAGGTGTGTCTACGTATTAAGCAGAAGAGGAGAGTTATCCTCTATCATTGCACAATAGTTTTCTAGACAGATTTACATGCACCCTCTGTCTCTTACTCTCCCACTCTACCGTCTGTCATCTATTCTGGGATCAGCAGGAAGTGCTTTCATTCACAATGAATAGCAGTCGTAAAACAGGAAAGAGTGGTGCGGCCTAATCACAATGAATATGTTACCTCAGTTCCTAGGAATAAAGAACAACAAACACAGACAGATGTTGCACTGCTGGAAGATGACCACGCCACAGTTTGGTCTGTCAGACTGGTTTGCTATGGAAACCTTATAGTAAAACACTGCTGTGGCAGACTAACGCTGCCATGACATCAATGGGCAGGAATTTGGGTGAAAGCAGGTCAAACCAGTGGAGCTACAACCAATGTGGAAAATCATTTAGTCATTTAGTCTAGCCTGCCCTAGCCTTGGTGCAGCTGCTTCTAGCTGTTAGCACAAGCTTTCATAGCCAGATGCTAGCCCAAAGCCTCTAAATATATCTGCTAATTAACAAAAGTGTAGCAAGAGGAGAGCAAAAGGGAGACTGGACAGCAATTTAATACCTCTTTTACACTAATACACTAATAAGCAAGGATCAGAACTGGTCATTGGTGCAATTGTCAATTCAGATATGACCTGAGTCATAACCCAGGAGCAATGCATACCAATTATTTCACATGTTGGCGACGAGTTTACCATGGATATTCGCGGCGCCGCTGATTCACAATTACCTCTGGTAACACCACTCAGGTGGTGGGATGATGTTGCTGCGGAAACATGGTTGCTACCCTCCAGTCTCCCCCAGGTAGCCCTGGTGAGTCATTTTGAGCCGCAAACCCATCTAAGAATGTTAACTACGTTAGCACCACTTCCCGTGCTGACATTGCTAACGGTGCTAACAGAGCTAACAGTGATGCTAAAGGGGGTTTGCAGCTCAAAATTGATAAACCTCTACATTAACATACATAACTGGTCAAAAGTATTCTCAGTGGTATCTGAATAGCGGTTGACATCCCTACTTCAAACACAAAATTAACGCTCACTGTGTGATAGGAGTATAAGGGAAGTGTGGGAAGGGGAGTGTCATGTAAACTCTAGCATGATGATTAACAAACTAATCTGGTGATTTTCTTTTATACATGTGATATAAAGCTAATTAAAAGGAGGAAAAAGCACAGTCAAGAGGAGGGATAACAGAGTCAATTTACATGCGGACCTGAAGGTTAATGTTGCAGAGAACTAGCCAGTGCAATGACAGCGATGAATTCCAAGTGAGAGGCATCGTGACTCACTATTACACTATGCATTACTATCATTGGTCCCTTGACAAACCATTAACTCAACCTCTCTGCCTCACTCGGTTCTAATGACTATCAGAACTGCAACTTCAATGACATGACATTATAGTGGGGCATGTCCCAAATTAGTATCTCTGCAAGGCAATATTTCTGCACCAGAGACAGCAAAGGCTCCATGCAAATAAATAAAAGAAAGTGAACCCTGCTGAAAGCTCAGAGGTTAACGCCAACCATCACAATTTTATTGTGTCAGGAAATGAGTGCCATTTATTGCTCACTCACAGGATGTTTTACTGAAGATTTACTGCCTTTACATCAATCAGTCGAGCTAACATGATGATCGACTACCGCCCCCAGGAATGAGTTGACTTATAGTACACCACAAACTCTGATAAAGAATGCCTTGGCTGACAATTTTGTACATGTTAATAGCTTCTTTGCAATCACATGACTATTAGGACACACAAAATGTAGATACAGGGCAGGAAGTGATAAATTACTGTGTGAACTGGATATAGAGGAAAGTGATTACCTGTAGGCAGCAGGTATCGTCTGAAAATTCAAAGTCATGTTGAATGTGATCCATACAAAAAGAAGACAACTACTTGGCTGATTTGCCTGGTGTGGAAATGACCGTTGTTACAAATGATCTCATCCTCCAGACCTCCTAACATTACTAACATTACAAGGCGAGCCAATGAAAGCCGGGTCTGGTGGACTATAACAAATTTGTGTGCAGCTGGGTCCTCGACTAAAAGGACAGCTGTCTTACTTTTTGCAGGGTGATGAAATGTGCTCGAGTATAATTGTCTTTTATATTTCAACTTTTTACATGGATGTATTCCATAACCCTAACTTTAGCTACTATCTTCTACCTACTAGGTCAACCATTCCCAGAGGTCTGGGAAAACACTGTAAAATAAAGTTGTGGCGAAAAACACAGATCACTTGTCACAGCACACTGTGATTGCATATAATTCAAGGCATGTTTAACATGCCAACGTCAAACATTAGTTGACTCTGCTCCTCCAGAAGACAGATTTTTGATCCACGTCTGCCGCTAATACTCAGTGAGTTTTAGCGACAATGAAGTATTTAGCCCTCGCCCACTCAAGATACCACGCAGGAAGCTGAGCTGATTATTCAAGGGATTGTAACATCAAGTCCTACAAGCTTTACTAATTAATTTTTATCTTTACTTCTCCCCTTTACATCCTACTATTTTAAAGTGGACCTTGTTTTTTCCAATTTGATCAATCGTAACAGCTGTAAATGGTGCATATCATAGGTGTTTATGCTGTGATGGTAGTCTTTGCCTCCAGTTGCCTGCCCTCCATCTGAACAGCACACCGATGTATGACGCCATATGCAAAGAAGCTATTCCATGAGATAAAATCAGTTGCTGTAACACAGCACTGATGCTGAATACAGCACTGGAAACAATACCCTTCTCATTCTTCTTTGCCCACCAGAAAATGTATACTGGTCAAGCAGGCAAACACTCACAGCCTACAGTATACATGTCATGAATGGACTAAGTGTAATAAACTTCACAGTAGGGGCTTGGATCACAGGGCAGGACCCTCTGCTATTAACAGCTCCATTCACAGTGTACTGTAGAGAAGAACCAAAACACATCAGCTCAAGTCCATGCACATCCCATCCTTTCATCAGTTAATGGGAAAAATGAGGTAATGAAAATCCCTTCCAAGTTCACTTGCATGTGAAGGGTTCAGGTTTTTTTTGTTTGTTTGTTTTACTGGTCCAATCAGACAAGTGGGTCAGAAACCTGCTTGTGTAAAGTCCATTTTTACTTGCATCTGTACAAATGGTTTTATCTACTAGTAGTTATCAAATAACAGTCAAGACAAAAGACTAAATGGCTCGTTGTGGCACTCCTGGGACCTTTTTTGGAAACGTGATATGCATTCAAGAAACAACCATGTTTTATGGTACAAAATGTAGTTGGAGTTTCGCCCAAATCCTTTAACATCACCCGAAATGGCTGCTTCATCTGAAAAACTTTATCTTTAACCCAGCGCCATTTTCTCGCAAGTGCCCCATCAATACTGCACAAATACATCTCTCAACAGAAATGATAAGGTAACAAGATGGTTCACTCCTTAGCAACTTCCATCAGCAGCTCAGGAAAAAAACGACATGTTTAATTTTTTTTCTTCACCACTTGCCTGATGGTGACTTACTAGATTTACTGGCCCGACTTGCCATTTTACTTGCCTTAGGCAATCGGGCAATCCTAAGTGTTGAGTCCTGGTGGAGACGAAGACTCATCTTGGCTTTTAGCGGCATTGCAGTACCATCATATTTCTGGTTTATGCTGTGACTATAATGCTTGGTTCAGAATCAGATGTTCAGAAATAGCCTACTCCTTTATTAATACCTGTTGGGATTTTTTTAACAATGTTTTGTTACCTGGTGTCGAAAATAATTTTGAGGTAATGGCAACAAAGTACTTCAACTTCAATGAGAAAACATTAACTTTTGCACAGTATTATAATGAACATCTTTGTATCTTTCTTTATCATGTGGAGCCGTAAAAGCTTCACTGCAACAGGTGCAACATCAGGCATACATTTAATATGGGTCCCAAAATGAGCCTTAGTTACAGAGTTTTCTTGCTAATTTGAGCTGATTCATAGAAAACAGTCATGCTGCTTAGAGGTCACTGTGCGTTTCTGTAAGGGAGCTAAGTGAAACTGAGTAAATTCCTGTTGAAAGCCATAAAATTGAGCTGATGGTTGCTTCTGAATCTTACA